TTGCCCATGTGTTAACCAATTTAGTCCCCACAATACCCTGGTGAGGGAGCCAGGGCCCAGAACATTATACCCATTGCACAGATGAGGGGACTGAGGCCTAGAGACAGAAGGAGTTAACTGCAACAATCCATGCCCCAAGAGTTGTAATTAATCCAGCTTTGATTACAACCCACTAACAGGAATGTGATATAAATAATTTAAGAAGTGCTAGAAGTCAGTTAGTCTCAGAATCAAATCCCAGCTCAGCCATTTACTGCGCTGCAAACTCTGGGGCAAATCATTGGCCATTTCTGACCCTCGTCGGGAAAATGGGACCATAGTGCTTATCTCATCGGGCTGTTTGTGAGGATGAAATGGGAAGAATAATGATGAAAGAATGTGGCACATTTCTTGCTGCACACTGTAGGTACCCAATCAATATTTGTTCCTGTTCGGTTTGTAAATTGTTCACTCCCAAACTGAATATGAGGTGACCTATGAAATTTAGCACAAAGAAATCACAACTGTGTGTGATCAGGGATGGAGGTAGGAAGAGTCAATGGGTATCGGTTATGTTTTCAGTGCTTTTTAATGAAATTATTTGCTAATTTCAAAAATACATTTTTAAGCAAAAGAAAATCACATAAAATGTAAGACAAGGATGCGAAAACAATTGACAGGGACCAGGAAAATGAAGATAACCAGACGTGGCAGGACAGGAAGCATTTCTGAGGGTGGAACTTAGCTTTGCGTTGACCCTGGCAGCTGGCTGAGTTCTCAGAGACCAGTCACAGGCAGCAGGCAAATTTGCTCATAAAGGCTCCCCAGCCCAGTTGCAAGGAGTCACTCTTGCAAGGACCCTTACATAAGCCACACCAGGTCACAGAGGGAACAGTGATTTTGCAAAAGGCAGATCTCTCGTCTAGGAATGTTTCTCATTAAGAGGCCACCAGGGACTACGGCTGCCTGTCCCCAGGGCACACTGGTCAAGTGAGCTCCCCTCCTCCCAGGGAACACGGCCAAGCGGTCAGCCCCCTGAATGCACCTGGACACCCACCTGCGCGGTTCCCTCACCTGGCCCTGGGTCTCTAATTGCTATGGCATTTAGGAGTCTCCAGGAGGGTCTGGGACCCTCTTCCCCATCCTCTTCTCCCCTTCCAGCCTTTCTTTAGCATCTCCTGCCTCACTAATGATGACATTTTCACCAAGTGGCAATGACAGGAGAAATTAGTTCACAGCCTTTGGCAACCTAACATTGAGCATTCAGATTAAACTTTCAAGGGGAAAACATAATCTGCACATGTAGGGAATTCATTTGGTATTTGGGAAAGACTTCAGGGTGGAACGGCCAGCACAGACCCTGGAGGTGGGCAGCAGGGGAGAGCACCAGGGGAGCTGAGAGGCACAGGCAGCAGGGCACACGCAGAAGCACGCGACGGCACACATATGCAAAGTGGAGGGTCCACGTCAGCTCTTAGCTACAACCAAAAACTGTCAAGGAGCTCTGTGGCTTAATGAGCCCGTCAGGCTGGAATGCACTGACTGTAACATTTCAGCTAATTGGCCACAGCATTTCTTTTCCATCAGTTCCCCTCTGGCTTCCCCACTCACCATCCCCCTCTTCCCAATCACTGAAACTTATTAAGAAAGCTTGGCATTCAGCAGGGCATGAGGTAGCTTCTCCTCGTGTGCCCCTGGCACTCTTCTCATTGTTTTTAAAGTCAGGGAATTAGACCTTATGAAGGGATGTCCCATGTGACAGAGCAAAACTCCTACAGGGCGGGGGCACCGTGTCATTTGCTTCTGCATTCCCATCCACGGGGCTGACAACATCCAGGAATAACTGTTTCCTGAGCCCCGAGAGCTGCCATATTGCTGTGCACTGCACAGTGAGAGAGTACGGCCATTGATCCTCCTTGGGTTGGGCAGTATATGAGGCACACAGCCCCTTTTCAGCAGCCCGTGAGCTCTTACCCCAAGTCTGCTTTGGCATACCACTGTACCCACGGTGCCCGCACAGTGCCTGACACAGTACACATAGCTGGCCTTTGACAGATATTTATCATATATCTGTATGAAAATAGGAGCTGCTCCAAAGAATGTCTAATGAGTTTAATTTAATTAAAAGTCTGGATTTCGGTTGTTTTATCGCAGGACCTGCTTTTCATAGGTCCCTTTTTCTCCACCATGGCCATCAGACTTCCTGCAGACAAGAGAACAGGGAGTACTGTATACTCAGGCTGGCTCTGGCTCTTTCGGTCTTCCAGGTCTCTAGGCCTTGGTTTCCCCTCCTGTGAAATGAGACTATTAGACTTTGACCTCTAAAACCCCTCCCAGCACTCTCATTCAGGCTAGAAGGACAATTCCCCCTGGTTTAAATCAACAGCAGGGTGTGAATGACTGATACTTCTCCCTCTCCTTCTCTCAGTCTTCTATGTTGGATCCACTTTCAGCCTGTCTTCACCTCATGGTGGCAAAATGGCTGCCAGGAACCCAAGGCCTTGGCAGCCCCAGCAGAAAAGCACACAGCAGAGTCTTCCACAGCAGTCTAAAACAAAGTTCTGAAATTCAAACTCAATGGGAAATGTGGTCACATGCCCATCTCAAGGGAAATCCAGTGTTCTGATTGGCCAACTAGGTCCAGACGCACTCCAACTAGAACTTCCTGAGCTGACAGTTGGGAAAAGGTGATCTCCAAAGGAAATACTGAAGGGAGATGGATGCTGGGCTTCCCAAAAATCAGGAATGGCTCCCAAGGGCCCCTGAGAGTCAGAAGACGTTAAACCTATTTTATGAGAATGCTGGTATAATTGAACTAAATGAATAAATGCCAAAAGACGGTTATAAAAATGATGAGATATTCTTAATGTATACTTTTAACAAGCAAGTGTTTTCACACGAAGAGATTAATACAGTGTAGTGGTGCTAATCACAAAATAAATGCAGTTCACTGAAAACATTAATTCATAGAGCACTGCAAGCTGTGTGCTCCGTTAATGGCACATGCGTTGCCACTAAAGAAAGGGACGTGCTCTCTGACTGTAAGCAAGGCCTCCAAGGGCACGGTTCTCCTCAAAGTTATTGATAAATGGAATATTGATAAATGGAATATTTCCTGCCTTATCAATGAACAAAGGATGTTACAGTCACCAGTGATTGCAGCCCTCCACCACGAGCTGGTCAGCCCTGAGTATCCTCAGGGCTGAAAAGAATACCTGCCATCTAGCAGCCATCAGACTGCAGCCACTCCCTGCGGTGAGCCCTGAGGAAACTCAGGGTGTGAAAACGCAGGGCCCGGATAGCTGAGGTGCATATATATCAAAGGAATGAGTTCAGTGAGCCCAGACTCCCGCACCTTCCCATACAGAGAAAAGCGTTAAATTCCTTAACTTGACATACCTGGTTTTCTTTATTTAACAATAATCTTTTGACGTTCCCAATAACCTGCTGTTTATTGCAAAACTCCTATATATCCTGGCTCCTCCCCTTGCCTCCTGGGAGCAGTTTCGCAGAGTTATCTTCTGCAACGCTGTCTCCTGGGCTGCAGTCCTCATTTTGCCCCAAATAAAACTTAACTTGTAACTCTCACGTTGTGCATATAGATTTTTTTAAGTCAACATTATTGTACAATAGATTTGCACGGTTTTCTTGACCACCTTTTGGCAGCTGGCAGTAAAGTGTCTTGTGAAAGAGAGGCCTTTCTGCAATTCACGCTATTATACGAATTTACCGCAGACTCCATTTATCAGTAGACCACATCAAAAGTCTAATTTTGAGGCCCTTTTGTAAAAGTGAGGCAGAAGCAAATAGCTCTCTTGCTCCCATCCTCACGCACAAATAGTAAACCCCCTAAAGTCCAACTAAAACTAGGGGAGGAAATGGGTGGGGAGGGAGAGGAAAGTTCACTTTATCGCAATTCTAATTTTAACTACTTTTTATCCACTAATACTGTGGTTCTTGTTTTTGACTAATTTTTCAACAAAATCAGAAATCACCCAGGGCAGGCAGGCAAAGGTGGGCTCAACACAGCAGAGGACCCTGCAGGTTAATCAGAAACATCCTTCCCCCCTATTTGAATCTGAAAGGTTTGTAGATAATGGAACAGACCGCTCTCAGGCTGCGAGAGCCTGCAGCCACTCCACTCCAAGAGGAAGGGGAAGGTTTCAAAAGGGAGATGGGTATTTGAACTTTCTGAAGTAATGGCTAGCAGAAAAACCCCATTGTAACATGCTTTTTTTCTGATGGGAGCAGACAGAACCCTTTGGAAGATGATAATGCCTACAGCCCAGTGTGACTCCTCAGGTGGGAAAGTGTTAGTAGCTGTCCTGATACCCACCCTGTGCATTCGAAGACTTACTTTTTATGAGCTTATGAAGAAAGATAACTGCGGGAATGGGGGGACACACAGCCATGGGGGTTATTTTTTCAAAGGTTTGGGGGGGTTCTAAGCAAAAAGCTCCCTCCTCTGCTTTGGGTTCTTTGCATTTCTCTGACTGTCTGCAGACTGGTGTTGCTGATTTTCTCTGACAAAGACTTATTCAACATGAGCTCAAATGAAAACATTAATAGTGAACTGAGGAGGTAATTAGAGGGCCTGAGTTTAGTTTTGCTGACATTATCCTGATTCCGTTTGAAGGGTTGAGAGGGTCTTCCTACCCTCTAGTAAGCAATTATTACCCAGTGCCTGGGACCAGCACCTCTGCCTGGAGGCCTGGCTATACAGCCTCTCAATCAATCAGGCAACATTAAAACGAGATGGCGCGTGGGTGAGGGGGGGACAGGGGACGGAGTAGGGGTGCGGCGGCGCGGTAAACCCCATAAAAGTACTTGCCCGCAGCGAGCGAGCCGAGAGTGACCGAGAGACTACGGGAGGGGAGGGAGCGGCCTCTGGGAGTTGTAGCCCGGACCACTAGTTAATGAAAAGAAGGGGGCAAGGTGCGGGAGAAAAACGAAGGCGTGAGATATAAGATGGAGCGAGGGGTGGGGGGAGAGCACAGGAGAGAGGACAAGAGAAAGATGAGATGCCATGTGGGGAGGAAGAAGACGAAAGGAGTGAAGATGGAGACGAGGAGCGGACGGGCGACGGGGGCGAGGTGAGCAGTGCAAGGAGGGAGGAGGCGGTGAGAGACCGCCAGGGCAGACTTCCCTGCGGTCGGAGCCCCGTCGGCTCCCGCACCGCCACCGCCTCGGCCCAGTGCTGTCCCCGGCCCGCTGCCCACACTCGCACTGCCCGAGGGCTCCCCCAGAGCCCGACGGAGCTGGCCCGGGGAGGCGCGGCACCGCGCGGCCTCTGCCCGACGGGCCAGCAGCATCCCTTCCCGCGGCGGCCGCGGGGACCCGCGAAGGCCGCGACGCATCGACCGGTCTCCCGGCTCGGGGATAGACCGCGGGCGGGCGCCTCCGGACAAGGCTGCCATCGATCCCGCAGCTCCGCCGCTCGGATTGAGGACGGAGGCGTTTCCTGGCGGCGCGCTCCCCACCGGGCGGGCGAGACCGGGATAAATGGGAACAATTGGGCCGGGCGGCGCCGAGGCACATCCCCCCCGCGCGGGTGCCGCGGCCCGGGCTCGCAGCAATTAGGGCTGAGTGTCTAAATCGACCAAGTTCACCGCGGAACATGCCTGGCGCCTTGTTTACGGCTGAGACGTGCTCGGCCAGCTCCCGGCAGCCCGCCCGCCGGGCGCGGTGGCACCCGGAGCCGCAGGGAGGCCGGGGCGGTGGGAGTGGCACGTCGTGGGGGAGAGAGGGGGCCTCAGGGGCGTTGCGGACCCCCGGCCCAGCTCCGCGGAGGAGAGAGGAGTCAGCGCAGCCCCCACCCTGCACTTCCCGGGCCAGAGGACCTGATGGCTCAATTCTAACATCTGCTCCGTGACCCTGGGTGGGCGCGGCCGCTTGGAGCCTGTGTGGCCTCTGCACTCGAGGACGGTGCGACACCAATAGCCCATCGGTTGTTAAAGGAGTGAATGGGATCTTGTATCCAGTGGCTCGGCTCTGAGGTCATCAGGACTGCGCCTTCCAGGAAGGCAGGACTCAGGTTCACGAAGTTCACCTCCGTATGCCCAGTACAAGTCGACTCCCCAACAGTTAGCAGGTTCTCCATAAACATGTGTTAAATAAATGAAGGAATAGGAATCACTAATACCGCTAATATAAACTCAGTCTCACTGAGCGAGTCCTATGTGCTAGCACACGGCTAGTCTCACACACCATTTAATACCTGCTTAGGAGACAGGGAGCCTGTTTCACAGTTGGGGAAATCGAGGTCAGGCAGTTAAAGACCCTGCTCGAGCTCCCCATCTAATAAATGGGGAACCAGGGCTTGAACCCAGAACCTCTGGCTTCACTCCCAGGCCCCCTCCTCCCTACCTCCACACTCACAGCTGTGTTTACACGAGACCCAGCTGAAAATTAAACAGTTTAGCCTCTCAAGTGTCTTGGCTAAGAGATGACTCATTATTTATTTGTATGTTTTACCAAAATCAGTCTTCTGACTGCATTATCTTTTCTTCCATTCCTCAACCATCTACCGAGGGACGGGTATGCACCTGGGAACATAGTCAGTGGATTGAAGGCAGTCAGACAGACTAGGAAAGTAGGTTTATCAGTCTTCTCTGGCTGCCATAACATAATACCACAGACTGGGTGGCTTAAACAATAGAAATTTACCTTCTCACAGTTCTGGAGACAGGAAGTCCAAGAGCCCTGGGCCAGCAGGATTGGTCTCTGGTGAGAGCTCTTGCCTTGGATTGAAGATGGCCATTTTCTCTGTGCATGCCACCAGAGAGAGGGCTCTGCTGTCTCTTCTTATAAAGGCACTAGTCTATTGGATCAGGGACCCACCCTACGACCTCATTTAACTTAATTATTCCTCTAAAGGCCCTATCTCCCAAAACAGGCACATTGGGCGTCAGGGCTTAAACATATGAATCTGGCGGGGAGACACAATTCAGTCCACAATAGCAGGGCAGGGAGAGACAAAGGGACAACTATAGCCCATGCCCTTGATACTGGAAGCAGACGGGCCCAGACTGGCTGTGGGGGCTGGAGATGACCATGGGACCCACAAAAAGCTGCTCTACCCCATGAGTAACCTGTAGAGTAAGATGCCTTGGAAGGATTTTAAACAGGGGAAGGAGTGTGATTAAAAGGTCATCTTTACTTACTGATTCACCAAGTCATTATTGTATGCCTACTGTATGCCAGGCACTGCCCTAAACACCTGGGACATATCAGAGAGCAAATAGGCACACTTTAATAGAGAGTACATTTAAGTGGGGCAGGAAGAGAAGGATTATCTAATAAAAAGTAAACAGTGAATAGATACATTGTACAGTATATTAGAAGGGAAGGAGTACTGTACAAATGGAGGTGGGGAGATTAGGGGGAGGGGGAGAGATATGATTATGAAAAGGGTGGTCAGGGTAGGCCTCATTGACCAGATGAGTTTTGAGTGAAGAGTTGAAGGCAGTGATGGAGGCTGCCATGCAGATATATGCAGAAAGAGTGCTCTAGGCAGAGGGAACAGCCAGTGCAAAGGCCCTGAGGCTGGAGCATCTCTGCATGTTTGAGGATTAGCAAGGTCAGCTCCAGCAAAGCAGACAAAGGGGAAAGAGGTAGGAGGTGAGGTCAGAGAGGTGTGTAGGCCTCACCAAGGACTTCAGACATTACTGAGTGACACGGAAACCATGGGAGGATCAATCTGAAATGTCAGCAATTACAGCATAATACTTCTCCAGGTTTGTGTCAAGTTGTAAATGATTCCAAAAGTAGGGGTTTTTTTAATACAAAAATAAAAGTGTCTTACTCACAGAAACATCAGTATTTCAGACCTTAAAATATCCTTTAAAATATCACAATATCTTGGAAAACCCAAAGCCAGCATCAGGACCACTGAGAGAAGGGACTGGGCTAGTTGCACATGCTGGTTCAGAGCCGGGGCTCTGGAGCTCTTGCCTCCATGGGACGCTGAGCAAGCTACTCATCCTTTGTGCATAAGCTCCCTCACCCAGAGCACCTGGATTAATGAGAGCCCCCGCCTCTTAGGATGGTTATGAGGCTTAAATGAGGGGATTGATGTCAATACTTAACAAGATGCCTGTTACATTTTAAGTGCTCGATAAACATGAATATTATTTTCACACGACTAGTTTTTGAACCTGAACCCCAAGTCTCCTGATTCCCAGTCCAGAACACTTTTTGCTACCCCAGTAATAGTAATAACAACTTAACATATTCTGAGTATCGACTCTGTACCAGGCCCCGTACTAGCATTTTATATGGATTATCTAGTTTATTTCCCCCATTTATCACAAGAGGGCCTGAGGCTCTAGCAGGTGTTCACTTGCCTGGGGTCACACAGGTATTAAGTGGGCAAATCAGAATTCAAATCCAGGTGAGTTTGGCTGCAGGCCCTGCACTCCTCACCGTTAACCTCTCCAGCCTCCCAAAGTTCCTGACAGCAACCTCCTCCATGGGGACAGATACAGATGAACTGCAGAGGTGTGAATATCTGTGCCTCTTGGTTCATCACAGAAATTAATTCAAGGTGTCATTACCCTGCCCACTGGTGACAAGCTGTAATGGCTCACTAGCCACCCACAATGCAGACTATTTCTGACAAAGTCAGACCAGGTAGGAGCTGATACCAGCAACCAAGGTCAGGTTTATCCTGGATTCTCAGGCCCCTTCTCTCTGTGGCCTGCGTGAGCTGCATGAATGTCTCCATCGCTTCACTTAGTGGCTTCTGAGGCATAATTTGCTCATGGAACAGGACAGTGTTGGCATCGTCAGGAGAGAGTAGTGGAAAACGTGTAAAGGGACTTGGGTCATATCTCCTAATAGCATATGATTCCTGACCATCTCCTAAAGGCCCTTCCTTACATCGGGCTGGGAGGGAAGAAGTCATTTCTTGCCTTCATGTGACTCCTGGGCCAGTGATGGAATGAAGAGCTATATACAGACATGGCCTGTTTATGAAATGAGGGGAATTGGGAGGGCGTAAGCAGAAACCAACTGCATCTTATCTCCCTCTGTCATTTTGGGATCTCTCTTTGAACTCCGATTCATTCACTTCCACCTCAGGATCAAACCTTGATCAGGTCCCATGGTTTTCTGGGCTGTTTCAATCATGAGATCTATTCTGTTTCCATAATTTAAAACCACCATCTAGGACACTTCTTCCCCTACTTGACAGATGAAATTTGGGGCCCTTCCAGAAATGTGTCCAGGGGAGAGGAGATGGGGGAAAGGGGCATTTTTGTGTCTTACTAAGTCTTTATGTGTCTTATCGGTCACCTGGGTTTGGTGCCCTCAGAATGACCAGAGTACGGTTGCCAGCCAGTGCACAGTCCTGTCCCAATGCTCTCTTTTGGGGGCACTTCTGTGGATTCCTCTTCTTTGCTTTAGGCAATGCGTCTCCTTCAGGTGGCCAATCAGACCTCAACCCCAGACTGATTTCCAGCAGTCCACCTGTACTGGGCTGGCTGACAGCTCCCCAAAGATGTCCACATGCTAATCCTCCCGGAGCCTGTGAGCATGTTACCTTACATTGCAAGAGGGACTTTGGGATGTGATTAAGTTAAAGATCCTGAGATGGAGAGGTTATCCTGGATTACTTGAGTCGGCCCAGTGTCATCACAAGAGTCCATATAGGAGGGAGGCAGGAGGGTCACAGAGAGAAGATGTGAGGACAGAAGCAGAGGTCAGAAAGGAGAAAAGATGCTACACTGCTGGCTGTGAAGGTAGAGGAAAAGGGCCATGAGGTGAGGAAAGCTCATGGCCTCAAGAAACTGGAAAAACAAGGAAATGGATTCTCCCCAGAGCCTCTGGAAGGAACGCAGTCCTTCCTATGGACCCATTTTAGACTTCCAACCTGCAAAACTATGAGAAAATAAATGTGTATTGCTTTAAGCCACCAAGTTTGTGGTAATTTGTTACAGCAGCAATAGAAAACTAACACACCCTTTTGCTGCTAGGGTCCCTGAACCCTTACAGGAAGCCCCCTGGTAATGGTATTAGGCTGGCTGCCTTCCAAAGGGTCCACATCTTGTTCCCAGAAAACGCATCCCTTGACACCAACCTGCTGAGTGGAACCTGAGCAGGCAACTCTCCACTCTGCCACAGGGGGGCAGCACCAGCCACAGCCTTTAGACTCCAGGAACAAGTCAAGTCAGGATCCTATATTTCCCAAATTCTAGGAGACATACGCCATGCTACCAAACGGTGCACTTGAACCTCCTCCTACTTGGCCCACGGTGAGGAGGAAGCACCTCATCTCCTACCCTGAGTAGGCAGGAGAAACCTCTCACCTGGGGTACATTCTTCAAACATTCCCTCTCCCACCTTCCCGCCCCCCAGCCCCTCCTGGGGCTAACTAACATGCCATTGTAAATCAACTATACTTCAATTTTTAAAAAAAGAATGGGAAATTTTACATTAAAAAATAAAAAATAGGGGCTTCCCTGGTGGCGCAGTGGTTGAGAGTCCGCCTGCCGTTGCAGGGGACACGGGTTCGTGCCCCGGTCCGGGAAGATCCCACATGCCGCGGAGCGGCTAGGCCAGTGAGCCATGGCCGCTGAACCTGCGCGTCCGGAGC